TCGCATTGCGATTCTTTCGTTGCGATTTTCATTTCGCATTGCGATTTTCATTTCGCATTGCGATTTTCATTTCGTATTGCGATTTTAATTTCGCATTGCGATTTTCATTTCGCATTGCGATTCTCTCGTTGCGATTTTCATTTCGCATTGCGATTTTCATTTCGCATTGCGATTCTCTCGTTGCGATTTTCATTTCGCATTGCGATTTTCATTTCGCATTGCGATTCTCTCGTTGCGATTTTCATTTCCGCATTGCGATTTTCATGTTGGGATTTTCATTTCGCGTTGCGATTGTATTTTCCGTGTTGCGATAGTCAAATGCATGCCTAATAGTGATAACAACTGAATAACAAGAGTTGGTTAAGTCAAAATGGTTGGCCTGAGTCATTAATTCAACTGAAAATGTTAAAAGTTCACACATAAAATCCACATAATACAACGTTTGCATATGAGCTTTTGATGGCAACGTTTACATAATACACATAAAATGTTAAATGTTAAAACGTTTACATAATACAACTGAATAACAACGTTTACATAATACAAAGTTCACACCATATGAGCTTTGGATTTTGATGAGGATCCATATTTTGGTAGAGGAAAAGATGATTTTGATGGCACTGGTGATCCACATGTCAACCTTGTATGACCACTTTCCTTGCACCGACTACATGTCGATCTCTTCTTCTCTTCACCCTTAGACGGTATACGATCGTGACTTTTTGGTCGGCCAGGTAGCCTTCTGTCCATGGCTGGTGGCAAAACTGTTTGTAAGTCATCTGGTATGTCCCACTCAGAAGGATGTGGAATAGGGTAGACAATCTCGGCATAAGTCTGTCGATAAACTTCTGTAGTGTAGCAATCCATAGCGTATGCGCTTGAATCATCTTGGTTTAAATGAAGAGCAACTTTTATAACATGGCCACACGGATAACCAGATGTTTGCCATTTCATACAACTACACGTCTTTGCATTTAGATCGACTAGCCCATTTAAGTTATTATCCAGTACTTGAAACAAAGTGTTTGAACATGGTTCAACTCTCCATGACGTTGACTTCACAACACGTTTCGTTATCTTTTTTCAGTCCATGGTGTAACACGATGTTCCAATGTTCCTGTAAATTTAAATAAACAATACTTAGTAAAATATATAAATATGATAAGTTACGAATTCAAAGAAATAATACCTGCATGGTTTCTTTTCTTGTAGTACCACTGTTGAATAGAGGCTCGAAAAAACTCCATTAACATAGTAATGGGTAATTTCCGGGAATGACGACTTAGAGCGTTGATTGATTCTGCACTATTAGACGTCATGAAACCATATCTTGCTCCAAGTTGATGTACTCTTGACCATCTTTCAAACCCGACATCTTCTAGTGTTTGAGCACACTGAGGCAAAACACGTCTTAAACAATTTATATGCTTATTGAAATCCACTTCCCGATAAGCTTTTACAGCCTTCCAGTATGTCCATTTGTGCTTTTTTATACCAGCAGACCTTGATTTTAGATTTCTATACAAATGAACACCACAAAGTCCATGAAAAGCATCTGGGAAACACCTTCTAACAGCGTTGTCAATTGAGTTTGCCCTATCGGATATGATTGTCAGATTGCTAATAGGACCTATGCAATCCCTAAGATGCCCCATAAACCATGTCCATGAATCAGAGGTTTCAGATTTGCCAACCCCGTAAGCTATTGGCAATATCCCATTGTTAGCATCCATGGCTACTGCTAATAAGTTTACTCCAAGGTATCGACCTTTCAAATGTGCTCCGTCAACTATAATAACTGGGCGCATGCAAGTAATAAACGAACGAATCTACAAAATAATATACACAAGAAATATAATCATTTAAATGTGAAATGCATGTAACTAACAAAAATGAGTCAACAAAATTATATTGATTTACTAACCGTAGCACCAATGGCGATAAACAGCAACTCAAAGCGTCCATCTCTATCTGTTTTGATATGAGTTACCGACCCAGGATTTTTCAGCTTTAAATTGTGACAATAAGCCGGCAGTTGGGCAAACGATGCTTCTGGCGACCCCCTCAACAATTCCAAGGCATAACATTTGGCTCTCCAAGCTTGAGAATATGATATACTAATCTTGAACCGAGCATTCATGTCAGTCATAATTTCATGTCCCCGATATACCCTGCCATTCAAAAACATTAACTCAGCCAGAAAACCACCCAACACCTTTTTGTTTGCCTGTCTATGGTGAGGAAAAACTTGGGTTCTTGAACATGTATGTTTATCAATAAAAGTCCTAACTTGAAACATTTTGCAATCTTTTATTCTCTTTGCAATCATACGCCACGTACAGTTTTTGTCAATCATACACCTTGTTTCGAAACGATCTTTGCTTGATTTGTTAACTTTTAGTTGATAGCCATCTTCCACACATTTCGTATATAAAGCTATCTTCAAGTCTTCCTTTGTATCAAAACAATCATCTTTCTTGATACGAATAACTTTTGTGTAACAATCAACTGCTTTCTTTATCAACTCTTCTTCCGGTATCTGAAGTAATTCTGGCATATTCCAGTTATACGCCCGTGGCATTTTCTTTTCTTCGGGGACTTTTTCTTCTTCTTTTTCTTCTTCAGGATTATATGAATTACAGAATGGATGTTCAACATGTTCATTCACAGTCGTAACTTCCTCCTCATTATCATCAACATTACATTCTTCGGCAACGGCTGTTTCATCATCAAAATTCGGGTATTGACCAATATCAATATCATTACACGCATGGTCTGTTTCTTCTTCTGAAACATCATCAAAATCCGTGTATTGACCAATATCAAAGTCCGGATATTGACCAAGACCAAATTTCGAATACTGACTAGTACTCACAATTTTTTCTGTTGGCTCATCATCGTCTAACTGGTCAATACGAAAACCGGAATTTGGTGCTGAAAGTTGATTGGGATTTGGATTAGAGAAAGGTTGTGGGTTTTGAGAAAAACTTAGTTGATTACTACCCGCTACTGACCCAACAATACTACTTCTAGGTTCAACAACATACAATGTAACATCATCTTGTGAAACACTAATGTAAGCAATGAATCGTTCAACATCTTCATTGTCGGTTAACAAATAAACTTTACCATTTCTCTGATAAGATAGCCTAAATCCACTTAGGGGCTCTAAATTCAATTTATTTGAAACACGTAGCATTAGAGTTTCATAAGTTAACTTTTGTAAAGACAATTTTAGTTGAAGATTTATGGGTAAAGGCATATATTGTAAAACACCATTAACATTATCCCATGACCCTCCAAAACACAAATCTATCCAAACATGATCAACATTAGATGATTTCATGGTTGTAACTAAACAAACGAGATGCGAAACTAAGACCTGTTGCCGGATGGGGAAGGATGTCGTTGGATATAGGAACGGATGTCGCCGGAGAGAGTGATAGATGGAGATGGAATGAGTTGCGATTTAGGGATTTAGTTTATGATTTCAGTGTTATATACCCAAAATTTCAGTGTTGTGATTTACAGATTCTCGTTGCGATTTACGGATTATCGTTGCGATTTACAGATTCTCGTTGCGATTTACGGATTATCGTTGCGATTTACGGATACGCGTTGCGATTTACGGATTATCGTTGCGATTTACGGATACGCGTTGCGATTTACGGATACGCATTGCGATTTACGGATACGCGTTGCGATTTACGGATACACGTTGCGGTTTACGGATACGCGTTGCGATTTACGGATACGCGTTGCGATATACGGATACGCATTGCGATTTACCCATACGCGTTGCGATTTACGGATACACGTTGCGATTTACGGATACGCGTTGCGATTTATGTGTTCGCGTTGCGATTTTCATATTCGCGTTGCGATTATGGAAAATCGCAATGCGAATTTGTACTATCGCATCGCGATTTTCAAGAATCGCGTTGCGATTCTGGAAACTGATTTGCGATTCTGGGGATCGCGTTGCGATTTTTATTTCGCGTTGCGATTTTGTTGGTCATTTTGGCAAATCCAAAAAAAGTTGGTTAAAATCGTATATTATAACTTTTTTTTGGTCACTGAGGCGATTTTCTCATTTTATTATTGCCTAGAAAGGGGGAGAGATTTGTCATTTTGATAAATTCCAGGTGTACTAAACAATAAAGCATTATTGTAAGTTGTTCCTCTTACACCCGGGACTACTTTATTATTGCCCCCGCGTCAAGACAAAGATCTTATAAGATAAGATCATACCAGTAATAAACAAATTTATCAGATATTGTTAAATTTTAGGTCTAATTTTTCATCAGTCCCTGTACTTTTCAGAGTTGAAATTAATCAATATAATTTATTTAACCAATTATATTTAACTTATTAATCGACTAATTCAGATCAAATATTTATAAAGATATATTATTAGATAGATCATCTAAATAAAATTTACTTCTTTCACAATATCCATATTTAAATTTTGAATATTGTTTAAAGGATCTAACACATCGTCTCATTACACCAATTGGCCTATCTATCTATTTTTAATCATATGAATTTAATCCCTCTATTTATGCGAGATTGTTAATTGACTTTTTTTTGTTAAATTTATTTATTTTTTAATAGTATGAGATGATTATAAAATAATAATTGTTAACGATTTTTCTTAATTTATTGACAACACACGAACCTTGCAGACGTAATTTCTTAAGTCTTCTAAAGAGAATAATATCTCATTTATCATTGAAGCCACTTAATGAATTCTATTTATTTCAAATTTTAAATTAATTGAATTTTTATATTCAAATTAGACAAATAAAACACTAAATTTCAATAGTTAGAGAACTTCAGGGCTTGATATCAGAATTAAACGAACTATTATTTCATTGAATTATTAGGAAGTACAACGCGAGATTACATTTATTACGATCATTTCTGGTTACTAATGTCCTATTATATGCCTTAATTAAGCAGCTGTGTTTGTTGATTCTTTGGGTTGACGGGTTCGTTAACTCATTATGACTTTTCTTCATTTCTCTCCTTTTTCATAAATCATCATCAATCCTTCAGCGATTTTGTTTTCCATTTCTTTCAATCAAAACCAAAGAATAAGTAATCAAATACTTGTCGGAGATGGAAACCGGATCTTCTTCTGGTAATTTCAAGCTCCACGATCGACTAGAGTTGCTGGAATATGATGATAGGTTAGTGGTTAAATCCCTCGAATCTCCTGGTGAAGGCTTTTCGATTTGCCGTCGTCAAGGAAATATCGCGCCGCTATCTGGCAAGTTCTTCCCCCCCCCCTTTTCGTTTTGTTAGCATTGCTGGATTCTTAAGCTTTGTTTGGAAATCGGAACGGCTTGTATTTTAAGATTCCCGATCGCGCCATATTTTGTTTTGTTTGTTTTTATGGTATTAATTACCAATAGCGTAAATTTTAGCATTTGTAGATGAAGTCTCGGTGAGTAAATATCTCGTAAATGAAATGGATTAGTAGTTACTTTCTCAATCAGGATGAAAATGATTAATTTCGTTATCTTTAGGGATGGTAACTTAAATGCGGTATTTCCTCCATAATTTTATTTTCTACAACTTCGATTCAGAGCTAATATTTATTTTTTATTTTTTGGCTTTTTGCAGAGGCATCTTCTTCTGGAAAACCATCCAAAACCTCTACCATTTATGGTGTGGCTGGGACAATTAGATTGCTTGCAGGTTCAAAATTATTAAATTAAATAATCATTTACTGTTTTTGTGTTTGTGTCATAAAACTGAAGTCAGTTTTTTTTTTTCTTTTCTTCTTCTTCTTCTTTTTTTTAAAACTTCATTCGTTTATTCAGGAACATATGTACTTGTAATAACTTCCAGAAAGGAAGTTGGGAGTTTTCTAGGTTTCCCTGTCTTCCGGGTCGAATCTATGAAATTCCTGGCTTGCAATGAGGCTTTGAAGTTTTCCAATTCTCAAGAAGTAACATTCTTATTCTTGTGTTTAAATGTTTATATAGACGTCTAATGTGATGCTTAATATCTACCCTTCTTTATAAAATTATGTTTTTACCTTATTCTGAGCAGAAAAGAGACGAAGCTTACTTCATGACTCTGTTGAAAACAGTTGAAACAACTCCTGGATTGTACTATTCATATGAAACAGATATAACAGTAAAGTAAACTCTTTTACTGTATAGTTTGCCTTCAGGTTATTTAAATTTCTTGATTACTAAGTTTAAGATGCATTTGATTGCATATATCAGCTTGCAGAGAAGATTTAAGTTAATGGAAGGGTGGATGAGCAAACCATTTTGGCAGCAGGTTAGTTTCAATACTTGGATCATCATGGAAAGCTTGTCAAATTTTTTTAATTTTAAAAAATCCAGTTCTGGTGTTTTCACCAAACTTTTTGATGTTAATGTTGGTTCCTTAATCTTGCAAAGTGAGCTCTTGCTGTTTTAACATGCAAATGTGGTTCATATGCTTAGGTTTTCAACTAGTAGTTTCTGGAGATTCTTTGCATTTGAAGTCAAACACTCAAAGTACCTTAATCTCGTTTTTATGTATTTTCTCTATCCTGAACTAGTTCAGGAGGAAAAAATGGGAATCCTTAATTTTTTTCTTTTATGTTATGCATAAACCTTTACTTGCCCATTGTTATTTTGTGATTCCTAAATGAGTTTCCCTTTCTGATAAAAGATTAATATATTTGCTTACTGGAGAAGCTTCATGTCAGTTGCATGGAAGTCCACATTGTAATGTGAAATATAGTACAATCTATGGCTAGTCAGTACTTGCAAACAATTTTTAACTTCAATATTCTGTATATTTCAGGTTGATCCTCGATTTGTTTGGAATAGACATCTTTTGGAGGAACTTATTGAGTACAAGGTTAGTTATATCCCATCTACATTATAAAATTATCAGCTTTCCTATGCTTTTAGAAATTCCTTGTTTTTTTTTTTTTTTTTTTTGATAGGAATAGGAAGCCTCGTTAAAAACCTCCCTCATAGTTGACCCTTTCCTAATAGAAAGGATCAAGTAGTGGAGGGAGGAAAAGAGTGCCTCATTTTATTACCAAACCAGATTACATAAGACTTAACAATACAACAGATGCTTTTACATAAGACTTAACCACTTCTGCTACTTCAAGAACCTACAGCTATAGGAAAATGAACTATACCTAAAACATACAATCAACCGATCCCCTGCTTTGCTAAACTATCTGCCTCCCCATTACAAGACCTTGGAATTAACCTAATTAAAACCACCTTTCCCGAAAGGATCAACAGAATTTCTCTAACCAGAGGCAACATGAAAACTGGTGCCAAAGACGGGGTGTGAATCCACTCCACTGCCGACTTACAATCACTCTCAACAACCAATCTACTAGCAGCAGACCATCTTGAAGCTAAAAAAATTTCGATGCCTCTTTTAATAGCCTTTAACTCTGCAACTGGTGGGGGACCTTGACCAATATTCTCAGAAAAAGTCAGAAGAGTGCAGCAATTCCAGTCCCTTAAAATGCCTCCAATACCTCCAATCGAGTCTTTTAACCTAACAGCTCCATCAACATTCATCTTTAAGAAATCAACAGGTGGAGGAAGCCAGCTAATGACATCATAATCTTTAGGTTTAGGAACAGAAATACCATCAGCTAGTGATGGATCCCCAATTAGCAGATCTTCCTGAATAGGGAATTTAGGATACTTGGCTAGGAACCATTTAGATAACCTAAATCTCACAAGGAAAAAGAGAGACAGCCTATCAAGGTTTAATCCTTCAAACACAATCGCATTCCTTGCTTTCCAAATAGACCAAAAAACGACTCCCGGGATAAACTTCCAAATCAATGAATTCAACCTCAAACTCCCCCACGAATTAAATAAGGAAGGAGGGTCCTGTGGTAGCACAATAGACAAGTCCCAGAAGCTTGCCAGTTTATTCCATAGTTCCCAAACTACAAAACACGAAATGAATAAGTGTTGCACAGTTTCCTCATGTTCCTTGCAAAAAGGACAGAGTACATCTTCTTCTAAGGACATTCCTCTTTTAACTAACTCCATTTTAACTGCAACCTTCTGATGAGCTAACTGCCATAGGAAGGCTTCTACGCGAGGCGGAGACAAACCCAACCACACCCCTTTTGACCACAACTCAATACCCCCAACTTCCTTACCAAGAGCTTTCCTGCACGATTTCACTGAGAATAACCCATCACCACTTGCTGACCAAGAGAGAAAATCTTCAACCGAATCAGTGAGTTTTAATTCCTTTAATTTCATCATCAGATCCACCCATTGTTCCAATTCCCAATCAAACAAATTCCTCCTAGTATTAATGTTCCACTGCCAACCATTCAACTCAAAGCTTCCGAAATCAGCAACCCTACCCCATTTGTTAGTTGATAGTGCAAAAATTCTAGGGAAAAGAATTTTTAAGGGAACCCCATCCACCCATGGATCAGTCCAAAAAGATATGGACTTACCATTGCCTACTTGCAACTTCGAAAAAGATCTAAGACACTCACCCGCCGAATCATTCTTCAAAAAATTATTAGCAATACTTCTCAAATTCCAAGAAGATTTTGGAGAAATGACCTTACTAATAGACATAGTATTACTACTAATATTATGCTTACTACATAGCACTTTTTTCCATATGGAATCCTTTTCATTTGCGAACTTCCACACCCATTTCCCCAATAATGCCCGATTAGAAATATTCAAGTCAAGAACCCCAAGGCCACCACTGTTCATTGGTTTGCACACTGTATCCCAACTAACCCAGTGGATCTTCCTTTTTTCCACACTGTCACCCCATAAAAATCTGGCCATTAAGGAGTTTAATTTATTCCCAACTTTGCAAGGCATTTTAAAGAAAGATAGGAAAAATGTTGGCAGTGAAGTCAACACTGACTTTAATAGAACTGTCCTGCCAGCCAAGGACAGAGAAGAAGCTTTCCACCCCGCTAGTTTTGAATTGAAATTTTTAAGGACAGGATCCCATAAAGCTTCAGAATTCTTCTTAGCACCGATTGGAAGACCCAAATAATCTACGGGAAAACGATCAACAGAGCAGCCCACTTCCACTGCCCAGTCTGATAAAATATCCTCATCAACGTTGACACCATACAGTTTACTCTTCTTTAAGTTTAGATGCAACCCCGCCATAATACTGAAAATCCTCAGCACCCTTTTGACATTTTTAATCTGAGTAAGTGAAGCTTGGCAAAAAATGATGAGATCGTCGGCAAATTGAAGATGAGATAACCGAAGTGAATCCACAGAATTCCCAATCACAAAACCTTGGAAAAGTCCTTTATCAACTGCTTTGTCTAGCATCAAATGCAGCAACTCACCTACAATATTAAATAAGAGCGGAGAGAGACTACAACCTTGTCTTAGTCCTTTAGCCATAGTAAACTCTTCCGAAGGGGAACCGTTCACCAGAACCGAAACCGAAGCAGAGGAGATACACTGTGAGATCCACGAACACCATCTTGTACCAAAGCCCATCTCCTTCATTGCTCTGTTCAAAATCGGCCATTCAACAGAATCATATGCTCTGCGAAAGTCAACTTTGAAAACAACCCCTTGTAGACCTTGTTTTCTCCAATAATCGATCCCTTCATTTGCAACAAATGCACAATCCAACAATTGTCTCCCTGGTATAAACGCAAACTGGAAAGGGCTAATAATGTCACCAACACAGCTGCTAAGTCTCTTGGATAGAACTTTTGATAGGATCTTATACAAACTTCCTACAAGGCTAATTGGTCGATAGTCTTCAACACTTTCCGGATTTAAAATTTTCGGAATTAGGGTAATAAAGGCGTGATTTACTCCATGCTCCCACATCCTTCCGAAATAAAAATCGTTGAAAAATTCCAGTACTTGCTCCTTTAAAACTGGCCAGCATTTCTTGAAGAAACCCATTGTAAAGCCATCCGGACCAGGAGATTTAGAACTGTCCGAGGATGCTATAGCTTGCCAAACTTCCTGTTCTGAAAACTTCTCCTCTATTTTTGTAGATTGTTCCCTTGACAGTTTAGAAAAATCCAGAAATAAGTTCTCCACTTCCATTGTAGAAATGGAATTAAAAGCTGTCTTAAAAAAATCAGAAATGTGAGTCTTGATCAGAGACGGGTCTGAAACTACAGTCCCATTAATCTTCAGACTAGTAATTGCATTTCTCCTGTTTCTGTTTAGTGCACACAAGTGGAAAAATCTAGTATTTCTGTCCCCTCCTTTGATCCATCTCGTTCTTGCTCTTTGAAACCAAACGCTTTCTTCAACCTTTAAGAAATTCCTTTATTTCTTTGTTAGCCATACCAAAATGCTTTATAATTTTGTTCTAAGAAAGAACTCCAAAATATTGAGAAATGATGAGAACTTTTCACATAGAATCATAAAATTCCTTTATTTCTTTCTTTCCTCAACCTTTTTGACTAATTGCATTTTCTCTGGCAGCTTGATCGGTTCATTATTCCTCTTCTACAAGGAAATATCCTTAAAGTCTTTCTTCCTCATGCTTTTGAACTCATCTGCATGTGTGTGGCCTGTACATGTGCATTTATAGGCATGAACAGATCACCATTTCTACTTATCATGAATATTCAAGAGAACTTTCTTGCACATTTTATTTTATATTTTCTTGGAAAATATATTTTTGTGTTTCACTTAACTTAGGTTTAAGTTTCCAAGTCGCTCAGCTAAAGTTGAAGAATTCACCTGCCACATTTACTTTACTTTCAAGGAGGTGTACAAGACGTCTGGGTAAAATGTTTTTGGATGACTTATTATTTTCATTAATAATGTTTCTATATATAAGAAGCTTTAAAAATATGGTTTTACAGGAACACGGATGTGGAGAAGGGGAGCTAATCTTGAAGGAGACACTGCTAACTTCATTGAAACAGAACAGTTGTTGGAGTTTGAAGGTTTCAGGTGTTCATCATTGCAGGTTTGTTTACAATCTCGCATGTGACTTCAGAAAGCTGATCAATTACTAATTTCCAAATTCTCTTTTTCCTTATAAAGTATATTGGATACTTTGATCTATCTTAGCTTCATGGTTATTTTATTTGTCAAAGAAGGAAGTATCATACAACTTGTCTTTTCTGGATGTTCTGTTAAACTTTCTGATCCATAATTCTTGTGCTTCCATCAATATTTAGCACAATCTGGTTTATGTTTAAAATAAAGTACATCCGTTTTTAAATTCACATGTAGATTAAATTTAATTTTCTAAACAAAAGAGAAGTAACTTCTGTCATTTTTTGAAGCTATTTTCCTTTCTGCATCTCAGATACGAGGCTCTATTCCACTGCTTTGGGAGCAGATTGTTGATTTAAGCTACAAACCACGGCTTAGAATTATTAATCATGAGCAGACGGTAGACTTTTGCTTGAAAATGCAGCAATTATTATTATTTTTTCATTTTCACTGAAACTGGTGCTAACATTTTAGTGTTTCTGCACTTTCAACTCTCATTCCAGCCACAGATTGTGGAGCGCCATTTCAATGATCTTTTTCAAAGATATGGAGAAATTATAGCACTGGATCTGACTGATAAAGTATGTTTCCATTCTCCCTTACCTTTGTAATCAAGCAAAAATCTACCATGCAATTTGATTTTGCATATCTTTTGGAAAATGGTTGTCAAAACCTGCTGCACATAATTACATTTTACAAACTAATCCATGTTCTGCAAAAATAGTAATTATTACATATTTGCCTGTCTGATTCAAATGTATGGAACAATAGAAAGCTTTTAGTATTAACGTCATTATGTAAACAAGCTTCGACTCTTTTTATACAAAACTTATTTTTTTATACTTCTAACTAAGCAAATGTTTCATCTTTCATTGATTTCAATATTGTAGCATGGTGATGAAGGTCAACTAAGTGCTTCATATGCGGCTGAGATGCAAAAGCTTCCAAATGTGAGGTGACATTCTACATTCTTAAATGTTTAAATATATAAATTTGCTACAGAGTTTTCAGTAGTTGTGTACTTGCTGCTTCTAGATAACTGTTGCTGTCTTTTTTGGTATTTCTTTCCAAGATTTTCCACGAATAATAACCATTGATTATTCCAAATATCTGTTTGCCTATTTTTGGTTGTGAATATTCTTTCACTTGACACACTTTTGATAGTACCTAGATTCTATCACTCCATGATAGTGCATATCTTCGTAAAGCCCCCCCCCCCCCCACACACCAAAAAAAAAAGGCAACTTCTTTCTGTGGAAAGTAATGAACGTGTTTCCTTAGTTAAGATCTTTTGCTTCTTTCTGAAACTTGCCTCTTTTTGTGATCTTCTTTGACATGTTTGTTCTGCAGGTATGTATCATTTGACTTTCATCATGTTTGTGGGAGCTCAAACTTTGATAACCTGCAAATTCTATATGATCAAATCTCCGAGGAATATGAAAAGCAAGGGTACGAAGAACGAAATGAAATGTTTTACATGTAATTAATTGATTAGAGTATGCCATGATCATAGTACTTGCTATCCAGATTACTGTGTTTAACTATCACTATTCCAGCTGAGCAGATACTTCCTCATAGACACGGATGGCAGGATCCTGGAGGAGCAGAAAGGAATTATCAGATCCAACTGCATTGATTGCCTTGATCGTACAAATGTGACCCAGGTTTGTGAAAAAATGTGTCATCTTGTTTGTTACCGCATATATTGCATGAAGAAGAAATATCCATGTTGACCAGCGAACCTTTTATTATACTTGTAACAAGCTTTGTTTCTTTGTTCTGTTGAACAGAATTATTTCGCTCAGAAGACTTTAAATATCCAATTGCAAAGGCTAGGAGTATATACTTCTAATGAAACCATTTCTATGTTCCCGGAAGATTATTTAAAGTTCAGAACACGTATGTTATTTAACTTTCCGTCTTGTTTAGGATTAAGGCTTTGCTTGGTATGAAGGATGGAAAATTGTTAATGAATTGGTTAAAATTCAAAGAAGAAAGTGGTTATGAATCATAACCATGTGATAAACTAATTTTCCATCCTTCCTCATGTCCATCCTTCATACCAAGCAAAGCCTTAGTGTCTTTTTATTCACCTTTAATGCTTCCCTTATTTATGTTAGTGTGGGCTGAGCAAGGTGATGAGATAAGTCTTGAATATGCTGGAACTCATGCTCTTAAAGGGGACCTTGTTAGGTATACATGGACTTTGAAGTCACTGTTTGCAAAGAATCAGTACCCATTTTTATCCATTTCGTTGTTAACATATCTGTATGTTTTTGTATTTCTGCAGATATGGCAAACAGACGGTTGCTGGACTTATAAAGGATGGAATGAGTGCATTATCAAGATACTATATGAACAATTTTCACGATGGAATTCGGCAGGCAAGCTGCCTCTTTCATCTTCCTCAATCAATGAAATGAATAATAAAATTGATGAAAATTGTATTAAAATTTTCAGGATGCATTGGATCTTGTAAGTGGTCGTTATACTGTCAGCAAAAGTAACCCTTCACCATTCCAGCTTAATAGTTTCGAATCATTCTCTGTAAGTTCATCGTTTCCCATTAGTACTCAATCAAAATATTCATGTAAAAGAATCTCTGTTATTTCATTGAATTGCTTCTTGGATGGTTACTTGTCATTACAACGACCTAATTATAAGGCCTTGGATTAATTGAAATTACAGTATCTTCCAGTGGCTTCAGCTTTGGTGATAGGTGGTTTGACACTGACAACCTTCTCAATTCAGCAAGGTATCTCTTCTTTCTAAGTTCCTTGGTTGCCAAGTCAATGTTGAAACATCTTTTTCGGGTTAATATATACTTTGATGCATGAACTTGGTAATTAAGTACCTGAACTTGACTTCTTGTTTCAAATTGATACCTGAAATTTCCAAATTTATATTGAAAAAATCAAATTCGAGTTCAAATTTTAAAAAAAACCCTTTTAGATAACAAATTGAACTTTGACGTCAAGTTCAGGTACCAAATTTCACAAAATTTTACATTTCGAGTACCGAAATATAATTTTACCCAATTTTTTTAAAAATTTTGTTTGCTAAAAATGTAAAAACATCTGCAGCGGGTCGAAACGCACAGCATTATGTGACTTCCTTTGTGTTGGCTGGAATGACTGCTGGAGTGATGGCTTTAGTCAGAACTAATGGAAGGCAGTTTTGTTCTAGGCCTCGCTTGTGTCGCCTGTTGTAAACTACCACTGTGCTTCAATTTGAACTCTCTCTATGTACATGTGTGTGCGCTCTTGTATGATATCAAAATTTATTCCATTTAAAATCATAATTTGATTCATGGCTTAGGGTTAAAAGTTAATAAAAACTCAAAAATCAAACCATGATTTGGTTTATGTTTCGAACAGAAATTTCAATTTCAACCAAATAATTCACAGTATGCTTCAATTTAAATTACGATTTTAGTGCCTTTATCGTTTTACCTTAAAATTTAAATTTAAGATTTAGATTTTAAACTTTAAATTAATATAATTTAATACTTCTATATTTATAATGTATTCATAATATATAGTTAACATATATTGATCTTTCTTAAATCCTTTTTAATGCAGAGTTTTTATCGAAATAATTATAAATAAAATTATTCTAATTAAAACATTTACACAAATCTTTCTTAGAAAAACCTTAAAATACTTTATATTACTTATATTATTTAAATAAATAGTTTCAAAACTATTATTCTACGAAGAACAAACTGTTATTATCACTCTGATAATTTATTTAATATTTTTCAAATGAAATTATCAAAGTAAATACACAAAAACTGTAAATACAATAAAAATATAGTGTACTTTAGGGTTTTCTTAAGACCAAGAGAGTTTCGAACTATTAAAACCAAAACCCATATCATCCATTCAGAAAGATGCGACTCGGATTACAGTGAAGTAAATTAAGTAGGCGACTCGTCAGCCATGATTGTTTACCGTGGACACCATCGACCAGCAAGAGCTAGAACCGCCGCATTGGCGACGTAGCTGAAAAAAATAACACTAACTGCATTCATCTGCAATCGCCGCTATGTTGTTCCATCCACCATTGAACCCTGAAAACCCAAGCAACCCTCCCTCCCTTGGTCCACAATTCCATATAAGAAACTGAAACAATAAATAAAAGTCTAATAATGAGTTGGCATCAACTTCTTACTTGTCTCCTTCTTGTCCCTCCACCTCGCACTTTTCAACAAACGTGTCTTTCTCCTTGTTAACACCACCTACACCCTAAACCCCACTTCTCCAAATCCACCCTAATCCTCCATTTCGTATATCTAAATTGTTTCTCTAAGCTTTTCTTCCTTCTCATGGATTCAATTTTCGACATGTGCTAAACGTGCTGCTCAAGAACACATCACTAGGAAACAAAACTCACCGAAACCTGTCCTTCCCCCCCGATTCTCAATCCGTGCATGCATGCCTTTCTCTCATTTTGTCTGCTCAGTCGGTTGTCTTTTAACACCAAAAATGGCCTCTATTCATCCCCTTTGTTTCTCTCTCTTTCAAACTTCAAGACAAACAGTAATTATATAAGGTAATGCATCCCCCTTACCTGTATTTCACGCCAAATTTTCATACGTCTCCCATTAAACTTCCTTTTCCGAAACCCTGAATTGATCACCTCCACCATGTTTTGCTCTTTTCTCCACTGACATTTCATTCTTTTTCTCTCTCTCTTTTCTTTTTGTTGATATGAGTTCAGGTTCAGCAGGAACCAGTGGCGGCGGCGGCGGTGGTGGATCGTTTAATGCATTCTTCGAGGGTTGGATGGTCCGCCATGAGCATTACCTGGAAGAGTTACTCTCAGTTCAACAACGTAATGAATCACAAGAAGATGATCTCAAGGACCTTATAAAACGAGTGCTCTCCCACTACCAACAGTACTTCGAGGAAAAAGCTCGCTTAGCGCAACGCAATGTTTTCCTTGTTTTTTCTCCGACATGGTTCACTTCCTTGGAGTGTGCCACTCTTTGGATAACGGGTTTCAAGCCCGGGTACGCGTTGAGGCTCGTGTCCGAATCGGTTCAAGACCTATCTCGAGAGCAAAGCCAGAGGTTAAGACTGCTAATGGAGGAGACGAGGGTTGAAGAGAGGGTGCTTAATGAAGAGTTGGCTAGGGTTCAAGAGACCTTGGCGGCTCCTCCGTTGCTCGAGATGGTTAGGAAAAGAGCACGGAGGATGGATGCGGCGGAGGGCGTAAGAGAAGAGGCGGCTGCGCTGGCCACGTTGAGGAAGGCGTTGGAGGAAGTGGTGGCCGGAGCTGATTTGTTGAGGATGAGCATCACATTGAAGGTGGCGGAGATACTGAAACCGGAGCAGAACGTGAGGTTTTTGACGGGGGCGACACGAATGTTCCTTGAGCTTAGGAATTTGGGGCTGCAAAAGGTGGTAAGAAAGAGGAATGGAATGGTTTTGAAAGGAATATAGATAGATAGACATACTTTTGTATATAATTATTGTATGCTAATATCGTTTGCAAGTATTTGTTTAAGGATTGCATTGCTACTTTGAATTAATACAACCAAGTTATTTAGATATCTACACAGGAAGACGAAGAAGATTTTATGTTACGGCTGAATTCAAATTTATAAAATTTATTTTACGTGAGACGAAATCATAAAATATTAATTTTAAGAGTTAAAAATAGATTATGAATAAAAAATAAAAAATATATTTAAAATATATAAAAATTTCCACCCGTTCTCTTCCATCAATTCCTGTATCTACAGACATTCTATACACTGATCGCATATACAGATTACTTGTGAAACATTCTATACGCACACTGATCGCATATGCAAATTACTTGTGAAACATTCCATACACACTGATCCCGTATACAGGTTACTTGTAAAACAGCCGGTGCTTGCATGGTAAAAATATCTTGACAGGTTTATGAAATTTGTTGCCTGGAGCAAAGGACACAAAGATTTTGGTGTTGTTTTTTATTTATTTTTAATTTGAAGTAGGTATATATGGTATGTTAATGTTGTGACTCAACATAGCATGCAATACCATTTAAGCCATGGATGTTATTGCAAGTAAGCTGCTGCACCTAATAAGAGAATCCCTTATATCACTGCAAAAACTACTCCAAGTAGATTGCAAGAAGATTTGGCATTGGAATCATATGCCCCTCATCGATGATATCAACAAGATGAGGGCAAAGGTTTTGTGTGGTCGGAAAATCTGTTCCATAATACTCGATTTTCCCCTCTGACATGGTTCACTTCCTGTCTCAAAAGCCAAGCGAATGGATGAAGAGGTTGATGGAGTAGATGAGGTTTGAATTAAAGGGTGCTTAGTGACGACTTGGTTAGGGTTCAAGAGACCTTGGTGGTTCCTCCGCTGCTTGAGGTAGCTAGGAAACATTACCAAGCATGAGAGCCAGGCAATGCCTGCACCTGCATGCTTTTCCATGGTGGCAAATCATATTTACATGAACAACGCATATTATACAGCACCATGTAATATTTACCATAATTTCTACCCATTGAATGGAAATTAAATACCAACCAATCTGCAGCTGTAGAAAAAGTTTAGCGTGAACTGTTCTCACCAAGAACAAGGACTAAATAAAGACTTTCTTTTAAGGATACTGAATCAGTTTGCTCATTATGGAAGGAGACTCTTCTTCTCAAAGGTTGGATAGGTGACTGACTATACTTTCAAACAGTTGCATGCTTGTCAACATTTTGTTTGTGAGAACTCCATTACTGTGTAATGGAAACTCATCATAGTCGGTCAACTAGACGTAGAATAGGACGATATCGATGTCTTCAAGCATTTCCGACCATTTACATTTCTCCCCGAGGTTACAGGGATGCAGTCTATTAAGCTAACTGGTACCTGTTGATTGAAAACATGAAACGCTAAGCACTATGAATATATAAGAAATTGTCCAATGATGCACCACTTTAACTTCCGCGATAAAAACTGAAGCAGTAGTAAGTAACAAAAAGGATAACAATGAAGATATGGGGTATCGATCCCCATACCTCTCGCATGCTAAGCAAGCGCTCTACCATCTGAGCTACATCCCCACATGAAACTTTTGAGTCAATATTATTTTAAAGGTTTTTTTCTCCTATTTGTGCCACATGGTTTCTATTTGGCCACATGTTACTCAATTTGTTTACCTCAACATTTTTTTTATTTCCGTTAATATCGTGACTTTTTCCCCTTCCTTTGCTTTGAAGATAATCACTTCACAACCACACCCCCAAAAAAAACACATTGGTTAAATGAAGATACTAACAATCTCAAAACCCAACCAAATGAGCAGAGAGGTGCTAGGATCAAAGTTTTATCATTTGCAGGATAAAAGCTTCTGAAATTTCTCTATCTTTCCCTGCACGTGTTGCCTGGAGCAAAGGTCACATAGGTTTTGATGTTCCTCTTTTAATTTGCAATAGCTATGGTAATGTTGTGACTCAACATAGCAATAACAAACAAGATAGCCAACGAAGGTATCTCCATAAATAGAGAGACCTTCTGAACTATGTGGGATAATCCTGCTATCTCCCAGCCCACCATTTTTTAAGGGAAGCATGTGATGATTCTAATCAAACCAAAACAGAGCATGTATAGCCGAAAATCATGGCCAATATTCTGTCAATTTTTCTATATTTGGAGAATGGTTTTAAGGCTGATTTCCAGGATTGTATTTTGTAACAATAGCTTAGTTTTTGCCTTATGTTTTACTTGTTTCCTTTTCTTAGCTGTACAACTTTTGTATATAATTTCAATAATCTATCAATGAGAAGTGTGGAAAATTATTCATTGAAAATTACTGCAAAACTTATTCCTTTACATGGTATCAGGAGAGCTAATCTTTACCGAGTCCCCGATCCAAGCCATTCCCATGACTTCCTCATCCGATTAAAATCCAATCTTTACTCTCAATACCCAACCTTCTTCTGTAACTGATAAACCACTTATTGCTCTTAACATTACTGCTCAACTCAATGAAAAAGTAACTCCCTCCACCTTTCCTCAATGGCATGCTCAATTCGAAGCCCTTCTTATTGGTTACGATTTACTCGACTATGTCGAAGGCACCCTTTAGTGCCCCTCTTCCGCTGGTACTGTTGCTGATGCGCTGCACAAGACCCATTGGGTCCGACAAGATAAACTAATCCTGAGTGCTATTTTAGCTTCCACCTCTTCTTCAATCACCCCTTTTATTGCTACGGCAAAGACCTCCCATGAAGTTTGGAAAAAGCTTAAAAATTTATATGCTAGTCGATCTCGAACTCGTGCTATGCAGTTAAAAGAAGAACTCACACTAATTCAGCGTGGTAATTGGCCAATCACCGAATATCTCCACTCTGTGAAGGCCTTGGCTGACGAAATAGCCATCATTGATCATTCCATTTCGGATGATGACCTAACTCTTTATGTGTTGAATGGTTTAGGTCCATATTTTCGAGAAATAACAGCGCCTATTAGAGCCCGAGAATCTTCACTAGCCTTTGAGGAGTTATACGACCTTCTGGTTGGACATGAAACCTATCTACGGTGCATGGAAGCTGCAACACATCAACTAGTTTCTTCTGCAAACTTCATGAAGACGAAGCAGTCTACGCAAGGGGGAAATCAATCCTGGTCCTTCAAGAAAAATGATGCTGCACGTGGAACTCAAGGCTTCATCCCAGGCTGCAATAATCATGGAGCCCAACGTGATGGGCGTCGCTCCAACAACAATTCTGGAAAGCCCAGCAATTCCAATCGACGTTATCAACCCAAATGCCAACTTTGTGATCAGCTAGGACACATTGCAAAGTACTGTCCGAAATTTAACTCCCAGAATGTTTCTATCAATTGTGCCACCTCTTCCAATAGAAAGGACAAAAATTGGCTACTTGATTCGACCGCCTCTTATAATATCACGGGTGATCTTTCCAATTTATCTATTCATTCTGAATATGATGGAACTGATGAAGTAACTCTCGGTGATGGTTCAGGTTTGACAGTCTAACACATTGGCTCTTTGTCTTTGCACTACCCTCACCGCACTTTTATATTGCGTGATACCCTTTGTGTTCCAAACCTTTGCAAAAATTTAATTTCCGTTCATCATCTCACCAAACAAAACAATGTCATTGTTGAATTTCACCCTTTCTATTTTCTTGTGAAGGACAAGATGACGGGGGCGATTCTACTAAAAGGAGCATGTGACAATGGCATCTACACCTTTCCGGACTCAATGGTGACATCCAAAAAGGTTGCTAATGTGCATGAACGGACTTCTATTGATGGTTAGCATAAGCGTCTTGGGCACCCTTCACTTAAAAATGTTCATCATCTTGTCAAGAATTTTTCTCTTCCTATTTCATCCAATAAAAATTTGTCTTCACTATGTCATTCATGTTCCATTAATAAAGCTCACCAACAACCCTTTCGTGTCAATAGTCTTCAAAGTCATGAGCCCCTTGAACTGATTTACACGGATGTGTGGGGTCCTGCTAGTTATACTGGCATTGATGGATCACGATATTACCTTATTTTTATCGATCATTATACAAAATATATATGGTTTTATCCAATGATCACTAAATCCAGTGTTTCTCATATTTTTCCACATTTCAAAAAGTTTATTGAAACTCGCTTTCAAAAATCAATCAAAACACTATATTCAGACAATGGTGGTGAGTATATTGCTTTTAAATCATATCTCTCACTTCATGGAATAACTCACTACACCACTGCTCCAAAAACCCCGCAACAAAATGTTGTTTTTGAACGTCGTCACCGTCACCTCATTGAAACAGGCCTTACGCTTCTTCATGATGAAAATCTTGATTTTTCTTATTGGCCTCATGGCTTTCAAACAGCCTCTTACCTCATAAATAGACAGCCCACGCCCCTTCTTCACAACAAATCACCATTTGAAGCTCTTTTTGATTAAAAATCCAAATTATTTAAAATTAAAAAAATTTGGTTGCCTTTGTTATACCCTCACCTGACCCTATAACTCAAATAAAATACAGCCCAGATCGAAAGCATGTATCTTTCTTGGTTATTCACCAACTCAAAACGCGTACAAGTGCTTTGAACCACAAACCAAAAAACTCTTCTTTTCACGACACGTGTTGTTTGATGAGACCAAACACCACTCCAACACCCTTCAACATGTCCTTTCCGCCTCACTCGAAAACACCCCTGACCCTCAGACCCTCATTCCTCTTTTTTTTGGTGTTCAGCAACCTGCAGTTCCTTCATGCGCATCAGCACCATCTCACCTTACGGAAGGTCCTCCTGCCATTATCACGTCCTCCCAGGTAATTTCGAACCCCATATTTCTTTACTTCATGATTCTTTTCATGCTCTAGATCAACCTCTGCCTGTATTAGTTTTTTGGTCCCTAATCCTATTTCTTAGAGCTCAAAGAAACAAAGGGTTGTTACGCGCTCCTCAACTGAGGT